AAGGAAGGAAGGAAGGAAAGAAAGAAAGAAAAAAAAGAAGGAAAGAAACGAACGAACGAACAAACAAACAAACAAAGGAAAAAAAGAAAGGAAGGGGGGTTTGACATTCATTAATTAGACTACATGGGTTAGGACTTTGACTGTGGCACCACAAAATATCAAGTCGAGCAACTGCATAATTTATTTCGCATAAAACTTGCTATTATACATGCTGTAATCAACAAAAATTACCTTCGTGAGCTATTGATTTTTTAAGATTAATTGATTATTTTTAGAATGAAATTGCGAAAACCTTTTCCACGAGTTTTCTAAAATATTACTATGTACAGCTTTAGTGTAGGCAGGGATGTAGGAGTCACGACCAGGGCGAGACGTGGGATTTCGTCTTCTAACTTCCTTATAAGGAATTCGTCTTAACTTTTCAGCTCCATGTTCTTAAAACAATTTCTCCGTCATCCTTGAAAGGAGGCCATACTGTTACGTGGCCGAAGTACTTTCGATTTTAAGCCAAATAAACCATAATTTTCTGGATTGCCGAAGAACTGTACAGAACTTTAAATCTATAGATTCAGCCTATTTGAGTCTAATGTTTCACCCATATGCATTTCAATCGTCTCGGGAATAGCCAAAACAAAGAATTTATGCTCAAGAGATTGGCACTTCGTCTGAAATCATGGGAAAACGTTACACCCAAAGTAATGGAGGGAGTAAGGCCTTTACCTTCGGGGATTCCTGTGGGAATGGAAACGAAAGAGACCCTCCTCAGTAAACCACAGGCAGTCCACCAAAGCAGTAACGGGCTAGCCAAAGAGAGTTGCATAAGGAAATAATATTAACCTATTGAAGAAAACATGGCCTTCTATACAAGGAACTTATGTATCAGGAGTGGCCAATTTCCAATCGCCGAACCTCTAATGTGTAACTCTGAATGCCTTTATATAGACTGTTTTCCCAGGTTTATGCCCAAAAAACTATGAATCTTGGGCTTAGACTCTCTTCCTAACAAGTAAATAAGAAAAACCATGCGATAACAATCCCTATATCCAGGATTGGTTTTGATTATTGAGTTTCTTTTTGTGGTTATAGTGGCACCACAGCATGGCACCCACAGTAAGAGAGAGCAGACCTGCGGTCAGGCCAATAACAGCACTGAATGGCACTTGGAGTTCAGACGTTTGCTTGTTAGCTGATGCTACGATGGTGTTACTATCAGTACCTGTAATGTAATAATCCATCTATGAGTAGGGGAAAAACTACAATCCCTCCGACGTAAGTAAGATCTAATTGTATAGAGCTAGAGAGTAAACTGACAATAGAGTCGGACAGCCATATTGGTGTACCTAACAAAAGAAACTAATGACAAAGATATTGTCAAAGGTACACCAATATGGCAGCTGTGACGTCATGTCTGATAATAGAGATGGCAGCCATATTGGTGTACCTAACAAAAGAAACTAATGACAAAGATATTGTCAAAGGTACACCAATATGGCAGCTGTGACGTCATGTCTGACAATAGAGATGGCAGCCATATTGGTGTACCTAACAAAAGAAACTAATGACAAAATCATTGTCAAAGGTACAGCAATATGGCGGCTGTGACGTCATGTCTGATAATAGAGATGGCAGCCATATTGGTGTACCTAACAAAATAAACTAATGACAAAATCATTGTCAAAGGTACACCGATATGGCAGCTGTGACGTCATGTGAAAACGCTGAAACGTGAAAAGGTCATGTGATTACACTGAGCAATTTTCTCTGCAACTTGTCATGCAATCTTTGCCAAAAGTAGAAACGTGGGCCCACCCCTAGATCCATCCCTGTTTGCTGCTATATATATGTTTTTTATTGTTTTTATTTTTATATATATGGTTTTACCTTGTGTTATTCTAATCGTCGTCTTGTGTTTAGGAATAATCGTTCTTATTTCATCTGTCGAAAAAAAGAAGAAAATCATGGAACATCTTTTTATAAGTATTTAAGGTAAAGTGTCCCATTACAGTTTTTCCTTTGTAACTGTTTGCAGTTAGTAACAACTACTAGGAGCCACTTTAAACCCGTATGCGCACGTATGGCATCAAGCATGATGACGTTTTATATCTACACTTCCATAATCCCTTTCGGGAGCTTTTTTAATGCTAATTTTCACTATTGTTTTGGAACGTATTTATTGCTGAAGCGCAGTATAGCTTAGCGAAGCATTTACGGATATGTCGGAAGATTTCGACCCCGACACCGCTATCCAAGGATTTACAGACTGATCAGAAAGCTCGGCCGAAGTCTACGGGAGAGGCTAGTCGTAAGATGTTCTAAGTAGCTAAAGATCTTACCTTCATTACGAGTCTTGACTTTGTTTTTTAACAAGAACGCACTTCTATAATCCCTGCCTAAATGATTACTAGCAACACAGGTGTATAAACCAAAGTCTTTCTCTTGGACGTTATTCAGCTGTAATTCCACACCATACTTCCCCTTTTCAACCTTTAGCGTCCTGTAGTGGATCGGGTCGATCGCAGTGAAGTTTCCGTTAGTGAAGTCTAAGTTGGTGCGGAAATTTTTTGGTGGTGTGTTCCACTTGATCCAGCGGAAGTCAGGTAGACTGCTACTTGCGACGACTATACACTGTAGTGATACGTTGGTTTGGATCTGCGTGGTGGTGTTCTTTGGGTAGCCACAGTGGAGGAGTGGTCGGCTACGAGGTCTCACTATTGGAAGGATAAACGAAATTATTCCCTAAATTATACAGTTATTATATGGCATTGTATTGATGTTATTCATTTGTGTCGAGCGTGGCGTAGTAGTAGTACACTCACCTCTTACCTCTGTAGAGGTTCGAACGGGGGGGGGAGGGGGTGGGGGATCGCTTACTACCAACCACTAATTAGGGGGTATCATAAAGAAATATAGTGCCTCTTGGGTGGTGGGGAGGGGGGGTGGTTATCAGTCAATTTTTATGACGTTACAACAAGCTTAGATGATAAACAAATGATCGGTCCCTTAGAGTTCCAACCATATATCCGTGAAATCGGTACTACTGTAACTAATTAGTACAAATAGCACCAATGAAACAACTGAAAACAAAAGAATTTCTGTGCTATTTCACGGATATATGCCGGTTTGCACTCTTTAATATATGCATTTAAGACTCTTCACTTACAGACAACATAGAGACTATAGGTGTGATTGACTTTCCCATAAGCATTTGTTACAATACAGGTATAATCACCCCCGTCAGACGGTATGAGGTATCTAATACGCAAGAACCATTGATTGGTCTTTAATAATGGCTGTAGTCTTCTTGGCCTGATTGGCTTGCCATCTTTTAGCCACTGATAATGGAGAGGTGTTGATCCGTTGGCTTTACATTTCAGTTTGATGCTGTGTGAAGCGGGCCAAGCAATGAATGTGTTCTTGAGATTACTGCGATGGAGAAGATGTGGAGGTGCTGTAGAAAAAAGGTAATTTTAATTGAGTACTATTAATGGATTATTAGAAGATTATTAGAAATAAATAGCAGAAATTAAGACAAAAAATGAAAAAATATTTGAAGGTGCTGTAGAAAAAAGGTAATATTCATTAATTACTATCAATAGATTATTAGAAATTATTATTCATAGCACGAAGCACAGCTCCCTGAATAAATTAAGTTTTTGAAATAAGAAACTGCAACTAGGGAAATTAGATGAATGAAGGTTCATAGGCCTTGTCTGAGTTTGATAAACAGGATGCATTGCAAAAGGTCTATGGAATGGAGTAGGAAAGTGAAATAAGTAGAAAAGAAATGATTATATAAGAAAATAACAGATTAAACTGATTAGTCTGAGGAAATTTTAAAAGAAGGAAAGTAAAATTGAATCGACTGGGTTAAATCATGAGCGACAAAAAGGGTAAACCTAATTTAAGTATGTATAAGACGTCCGTCGTGAAGGAAGGAAGGAAGGAAAGAAAGAACAAACCGACTTAGAAAGACAACACAATACGATAGTTTATTTCAACACGTATCGTCCAGGAGCGTTAAGCTCATCAAATAAAAGAAGGAAAGAAGACAAACTAAGGAAGCAACAAAACGATAGCAAAGAAAAAGGGGAAAAGGAAGGGAAAAAATAGATGAAGAAAATACCTAAGTGGAAAAACAACAAAAGGTTAAGAGCAAGATTTAATTAAAGTAGGAAAAAGAGAAGGATGGAATGGCTGCCATAGCTATAAATTACAAAACGTATAAAAAGAGAAAAACCCTTCTTAGCATTTCAGTGGGTCCTAAATATATGATAGAATGCGTAGATACGAATGCGTGTGAGAGTTTACGTTTAACTCAAGCCTGAAATTCAAGTAGCAACTGAGTAAAATAGTATTTTCCTCAAACAAGTCTATATATATATATATATATCACTTCGAAACGGGTCGCGTGCAAAGCAAAGTGTAACTCCTTACTTCTGTCACTTATACAAGATGATCGAACGTCAATCAGTTAATATGGTGTCAAGTATGGCAAAGCTACTCTAACTTATCTCCAGTAATCCCTGAAGCTTTAACTAGTTCTGCCAATCATCTTGATCTCGCATAAAAGAGATGTTTGAATTTCTACGCAAGATATTTAGCTCGCATATGGAAGATTCATTTATAGTTTGAGATATGCCGACGAAAAGTAGTAGAAAAACTGGGGGTATAGAATGACAAGACCGTTAGTGAAGTGTTTTTGGTGATGATCTGCCATTCGGCGCGACTCGGACTACGTGAAAAGCTTTAAAACATCTGTGGAACTATAAACCAAGAGAGCAATCATTGAAAAAGCCGAGGAAACGCTTCTCGGGCACAGAGCCATCCGCGTCACGTTCTTAGCTTTGGCATACTTTCTTATAACTAAAGACTCTTGTTCTTGTGAAGTGACAAGCAAAAAATTGCGATGAAAGGAATTTTTTCTAAGTTCATTCGTGCAGAAGAAATAGCCTAAGGCCAAGGAAATAATCTACTGACATACTGCGTAATCTCGTGTTATAGACATTTAAGTGTTTCTAGAATGTCCTTAATTAACTTTTTCTTGTTTGCAAAACGACGCGCTATTTTTACGTAAGAAAGACGCGAGTGTGAAGCTCTTCTGACCCGAATGAAAGAATCGGAAAGCTCATTCAAACGTGGAATAGCTCAGTACACATGAAATGCTACTTCGAGTGTTTATCGAAATCTTTTCCTGATTGAGAGAAGCTAAGAAGGGCTTAGAAGAAAATCGCGTCAGTGAAATCTCAAATCTTAATTAATGTGAATTAATTCCCATACGAATGGCACCAAGAAAGCTGGATCAAGAGAGTATTTGTGTGGGGTTGAAGCAGATGAATTGGGCCAGGAATACTGCATTCGCAAAGCTCTATACATATCGCAGATCTCAACTGATTCAAGGGTATTTCCGCTTCTTAATGAGTGATTTCCAACTGCTCAGGAAATGCCTGCAAAGTGTTTACCCAAAAGTCCTCATAAGTATTGTGTTTAACTCACGAGGTGCTCGTGCTGTTAAGTAGTTCACTCGTGCAATCTCTCTCAGCCCCCGGGGGGAAAAGTACTACGTAATACTTAGACCGAGACTCTTATTTTTGGATTAGAATGTCAGTGATCGTCTCCCAGACCCTAGGAATTCGTAGCAGTAGCCACACAAAAGAAGTAGGCCAATCTTACGATGTCAGTACCATTATTGGAAACAGCACACTGCTGCAATATACTCGTAGGGGCGTGGCTAAATGACAAATATCGAAGTTTTCGCAAGGGCCGTTTTTGCTGTACATCGGCTGACATGCATTCAAAAACATATTTCCGTCATTTTTGACACAAAGGTCATTCACTGACATTGGAATTCACAGTTGTAAAGTAAGATTGATTCCCTGTTCTAAAAACGACGAAGAGTTCTCAAGTTCATGAAATGCTTTAACATATTAAAGGTTGTTAGCACAAAACAGGTATATCAATCGAAAAAAACTCCCGTCAATGTTCATGATCACGGTGACTTTCCGTCTCCTAGCCCAAGGCATTGCTTTAAATGACTGTTTAGTTTTACAAATTCGTTGGCTTTCTTATTCCAAGTTTACAAATTATTACACAATTTAATAATTGATCTAATTTGTGGGCAAACAGCCAGACAAATGAGCCAAGGGTCGAAGAAGCACAAAGACATGACAATTCAAAAACAACATTTTGTTGAATAGATAGATTTCCGTTGTTGGCGATGATCGATAATCTGAGCTCTTTGGAATGGGCCATTGGGCCATTCTTATCAAAGCTGTTTTTCTATTTATTATTGGATTATCAAAATTTCGCCCTCATTTGAGGTTCACAAACTGTTATCCAGTTGTCGAGCGAGGACTGTATATCATGCTTGTTTATTTGGACGTATCTCTAATTGCCTGATAAAGTTGCACGAAAAATCTAGATTTCAAATCGATCGTACAAGATCCTACTCTAAACTGTCAATAAGGATTTGCACTGAAATGTCACCCCAGGACTGTGTGAATCCCTCGAATTCCCGTACGGAAAAAATAGTCGAGCCTTGGAATTTGGAAGTTGGGATAAAGGCGTTTTTTATCTTACAACGTCCACCATAATGCGAAAACCATTCGAAAAGAATTAGGTGTTTATAAGATTTAACTAATTCATGAATGGGACTATCTTTAAATCAATCGAAAATCGTGTTTCAACACCCTGTTAAGCGTTTTCTTTCAGCAGTCGTGCGTTGTTCGTGATTGGCGTCTTTGTTAGACGTGTCGCTCTCTTCAGAAGCGTGCCAACGAGAAGATGAGAAATAAATTAACATCACCAAAAACTACAACCTCAAAATGCGCGCAATTTTCTTTTCCTTTTACTCTTTTCTACGCAGGTGTCATATCATGAAAAACAATTTCCATAAATTAGTTCATCACACACAAAGTTCCTATTTACTGAGGCTTTATGAAAGGTGTTTTTTGTGTGTGATACATGTATGACAAAGGTCTTAAATCCTGACCTATATTGCATGGAACGATCTCCTTAAAATAAAATGTGTGCGCTTGAATAACCAATTTGCACCGTATTACCCCTCTCTTTAAAACTAAAAAAGGAAAAAGGGCCAGACTTCTTAGTTTTCTATTTTGAACTAAAATGGATTCTTTTTATGACCCTGTTTATACTGAAATTAAACAGTGTAACTGTTTGTGCCATATATTTGGTCACGTTCAATTTATAACTAGTGCTTTGATCAGTCGGAGCATCCGGCCATCCCTGTTAGGTGCCGATGCACAAACACGCCTGTTAGTATTTTGAGATATAGCTTTGGGAAAGAAAGAGCAGGACCCCGTACGGGACTCTAACCAGGAGGCGCATTGCATGACAACTATGACCGTACTTATTACATTATATTCGCTCATGCTGCAAGGGGTATTCAGAACTGTTTGAAATTTCTCAACGTAACTAGAAAGTACAATCCAAGCCACTAACCTTTGGTTGTGACGGCCAATGCCACGAGGTAGGCACCCACTAAGCCAAGTATTAGGATCTCTTTTGGTTCCATGGTTTGTAACAGACGCTGGGCTTCAAGTTGGACCGGTGCTTGATCCCCAATTGATGCTTGCTGCGCTGAATATATGTATTCCTTAACAATGGTGATAGGTTGTCTTTAATTAAAATAGCAAGTGCACTCAATTGGGATTGAATGGCGCCGGGATGGCTATTGGGTAAGCTTTTATCAAGGTGGAAGCTCCGTGGAGGCATTCTGATTGGCTCATTGCAGGATACTTGGGATCCCTTAATTTCCTTAGGGGGGTTTAACAGATTGTATCAATTTGGAAAAATAAATACCGTGGATTGATCAGGAAATTGCAAGAAACACATGCACCTTGAGCATCTTTAATCACCCCAAAACGTGGCTATCAGAAAACCCCGTTGGATTATAAATTAAAACCAAACCCTCGCGTCACTCATTTTTGGGAGGAAAAAACGGCCCAAAGTTTTCCTGCACGCTGTAATACAATCGTTCAGCGATTGGCTAGATTTCTCGACCAATAGGAATTACTCTTATATTTAGTTCAGCTTTAGATTTGTTTTAGGTGAGTAAGCATTGTTAAACTCCTTCAATTTGAGCAAACCTTAGAGAATTTGACTTTGAATTTTATCAAACAAGCTTTTTATCACAAAATTCCATGCGCAGATCAAGAAATAAGTGCCGCCTATAAATACTATTTTGTAGTTTAAATCCCTCTTAGTGATCATTACTTCAAGCTAATACTCACTCAAGAAACCTTGATGATTAGCCCAGCTAAGAAAGTAGTATTATCGATCCTAACCTGTTATCATTCCTCGGGCAAGTTATCCTTCAAACAACAATACGTTCAGTCTAATCTAACGGAGGCAAGTTCACATGATCACCTAATTTTTTTTTCGATTTTTTTTCCCAACTCAAAAAGTAATTCCTAACCTTAAGCTTGACCTCTGGAATAGCAAATCGTAGCCCCCAAAATGTTTTTATGGCACAAAACGTGCATTATAGTACTTGCAGTGATATGGCTATCCATCTAGGAAGTGAGTACCTTAGTAAAGTGAAGAAGTAGCTTGGTTTTGTCAGTGCTCCATTCTTCGAAGTGGTCCCTTCTTATCCAAGTGATTGCGGTCGCTAATTTGATTTAATTGCACTCCTGTTGCTATCCTTAAAGTTTAATATGTTCTCTTTTGTGCGCTATAGTACTTATAGAAATAGCTTGATTAATCGGTTTGTATATATGTAGGGTAATTCTGGAGGTGTGCGCTGTTGGCCCACGCGCTGTGTTATCGGTAATCCTTCTCGCTGTGATCATGCGTAACTAGTGCGTAACGTTATTTCGAGGACACCACACGAGGACACCTCGGCTTTTGTTAAACTCCACCACATAATCCAAAATACAACAGATTTACTATTTATATTCAGCAGGATTGTAGTGTTTACCAAAATACGGGAAATTGTCCTTGTTGAGATACGTTTAGCTTTTCTAATGTCTTTCCAAAAACCTGCTGACAGTTTTGCGAATTTTGCGCTCAGGAATTCCCGTAACATTCAAGCTCTTTCGACGAGAATATTTTTAGAACATGTTGTCCTATCAAAATAAGTTATACTTTTTGAAACAACATCGTTGTTATCTTTGTAATATTTGGAAAAATAGCATGTCGAGAGGTAAAAAAACACGACTAATCCTTCTACATCGTAGGCCGGCACACGTCTGCTGTCCAATGTTGTCTGATTAGGTCCTTATCTTTTATCGTTTTCGTCCTGTAATCGATTTTAAACGCGTATCATCAACGATTGTGGTCAAATTATCACCTTTTTTTATTCCACTATTTTGCCTTCTGGAATGGTTTTCCGAATTTAGGTTATTACTTCTATTGTTTAGGAATTCATTAAGTATCGTGCTTGTTATGTTGTTAGTATATTTGCCAACTGCTGTATTATTAATGTTGTTGTTTTTAATGCTAATGGTGTGGTATCAATATCCCTCTGATCAATAGACATCAAGCTAATTGTCAAAACAACCATGTTATACAAATGTCACCTCAACACTGGACTCCAACGCTATCTTTACGGCGTATCCTTCTGTTCGGTATTGGGAGATTGGGCAAAGTTACTTGAAATCGAATTCGATGAGGTAAATTTCCATAGACTGTCCATTCGTTCAGTATGCCCTTATTCATTTTCTAGTTCATCTTGCCTTTCCGCGTTGTTCTATTTTTTTATTCATATCCCGAGTCATGGAGATTATAAAAGAACGTAAAAAGATTACCCTCGTTCTGTTTTCAGTATTCAAATCTTACGCACACTTACGTATATCTTATATTGTTTTAGTAAAAAGTACCGAAAACGGATTTGTTGAGTTTTGAAGAAAAGAAATTTGATTGAATTTCTTTACCATGTTCCATTCTCAATTATTTTCAGTATTTGATTGCTGTGCGCCACATTAGCACGTAAAGTGCCACGTACCTCCTCCCTTATCAACTGGACATTTCTAATGCGAATGCAGGGCTTTGTAGGGGAATCACGGGTGGCGTATCGGTAAAAGCACTTGCCTCTCTATCATCAATTAATTCGACCCAATTTCGATTCCATAAACTATAAATTCAATTATGAATGAGGGCCATAAGTTTGTTAGTCATTGGATATTAAGTGCTACTTTCGTAAAAGGCTGATTTTATTTTTTGGCCACCCACTGGCTTTGCATGTACCATATGACGAGTTGACAATGACAATGACAATGGTCCTAGAAGGGACCGACAGAAAGTACCCTCTTCCTCAAGGGTTTCTTGAAATGCTCGTTACTTGGTGACTATTTCTATTCACAAATTTACTGCAATTCGACTTTAATCAGTTGAAGCCATACAACCTAGGGGGTAACAAGCTGAACTTTCTCTTTCTTTGTACTGTAAATATTATGGATGTGAGTCCCCTTGTTAAGCTTTACAGCTTTTGGGGCAAATGTTTAGTCAAATATGTTTAAAAAAAAAACAGCTGAACTTTAGTTTATTCCTGTGAAAAACAAATAGACCTTTTTAGCTTGTGCGTCATGTTATCCCATCACAGCCCACATATCATTCCCTAGAGTATTATTTCTTTGTTTAACGGTTGCGCATGAGAAGACACATGAATATGGATACAACTCAAACAAAGAATCTTTTTCTTCTAGAAAATGACACGTATGAAATGGGAAAACATGCGATTTGAAAGTTATTTCGGAAGCCATTTTTACCTAGATGAATGTGAAAAGAAAGACTTTAATGCAATTACGATGACTCAAAAACTTCATGGAGCGCTTTTTCCATCACGAAAACTGATAAATATTCAACAAAAAAATGAGGCTTACACTACAGTCGAAACTCGAGTATTGCTTCCACCTATTGAGTAATTTCTTTCAAAAAGAATGTCAAGGTTCAAGTATGTTTTTTGAATGTTACTATTTGTGTAAAAACAGACTTTGACATTGATAACTTGAAATAATAAACCATGGAGTTTTCTCAAGATGATATCTAGGAATTAGGTGATCCTTCACCGAATCCCAAAAGCAATTTTTGGAAAAGATGATTTTAGAAAATCAAGAATACCATCGTTTTTATATTCGTGTGAACACAGCTCTAGGGCGTATAATCTGCAGAAACGTTTTCAGTTTTATCACAAAAATTACTAACATTCGTTTTCCTCCCTCCGCATAGCATAACACCAAAAATTACAATTCAATCTGTGAGTTAGCAGTGCCTTGACTTTGATCAGCCCAGAGGATGTTTCAGAGTTTCGATGAGGCACTTACAGCCAATTTTTCCCAAAGGTTAGATATGGCAGGCAACATTCTTAGCAGATGGTTGGAACATGTTCGTAGATGCAAACGACGGGATAGACCTCTTTGCCTTGCGCCTAATGTTTACTCACTTCAGACGACGTGTCATTTCCTCGATAATAAGATTCTTTGTTTGAGCTGTACCTATATTTATGTGTCTTCTCATGCACAACCGTTAACGGCAAATAAATGATACTCTACTGAGATAAGGACAAGTGGTCTGGAATGGGACAACATTACGCCCAAGCTAAAGAGTTCTATTGAACCGAAGAACTTGAAAAAAATCTCCTTTATAATTGCAGAAAAAAAAATTTTTTTTCGCTTAGTCTTGACGTGTTACATCAAGATGTACCTAGGATGTGACGAGAGGCAGGCAACCAACTGCCATTTACCATGAGCTATATATGTGAATACAAATATTATCTTTGAATAAAATTATATCTATCGAAAACAACGGCTTACGTCAGACCTTCACTCATGACTATGTATCTTATCTATAAACACGAACGAAAAGACAGGTGTAAATAAGCATTGAAAACAGGATATGATAGTGTAGATTTATCTTGGAGTCCATATTCGAGGGAGATAAGATGCATGAACAAATTTATCGTGTAATTTTTAGTGGTTGTTATCTTGGATGGAGTGTGACGTCATAGCCGCCATTTTGAATGAATAAATTGAACGATACTCAAGTTTCTTATCTTAGGTTTCATCTTCAGAGCCACCCTCATCAGTGTAAGTAGAGTTGTTTGTTGGTTCTCTGGTAAGGTTAAGACTTACTAATATTGAGATGCTTTCTCAAATTACTTTTTTTGCTAATTAGTTCGAAATAAAAGCTCGCCCTAGTCCTTTGCTGATTTATGAAATGTCCAATTGTGAAACAAAATGTGACCGATTTTTTGATGTCATTTGAGAGCATGTTTTTCCTTCCTTGAGCGCACCACTGATATCGTAAAAAAAACTTGATTACAAACCTGTATGGTGTATATAGGACAACAAAGCATGGATGTTGAACACATGTACTGATTGTCAACAATAAAACAAAATTATGATTCAACAAGTTTACAGCCATGAAAGCAAATAGAAAATTACTCGTACTTTCCAGGTTTGGAAAAAGGGCTGGATTTCTATAGACACCCATCTAATGATCTGGGTTTAAGTCTAGCTACTGTGGAAATATCCTGTAGGGGTTTTGTTCGTCTTTCGTGTGAGTACATCGTATACGGCGCGCATGTGTGTGGACGCAAATTAGTAATAGACAATCTAAACCAGGCGAGGGAAAAATTAATTTGTTATAATATTTCGAGGCCAAAAGTCAATACCACTGCATTGGTCATGAACCATGTAACTTTAGATTAAGAGTTGCTGATGTCTTGTTAACAGTCGTAGTCCCTGTTCACTGTTTGTGGATCAATCATATACTTCATTCACACCAAGGCTAAACATGTTTTAAAGTGGTTTAACTAAACAGGTTTGAAAAACTACATCTACAAACACTGCACAATCTTTGGTAAAATAATGCATGTAAGCTATCCTTTGTCTTGCTCTGATAATAGTTTAGAAAGTTTCATTATAGACCCTATTGTAAGTTTATAGTTTCTCTTTTTTTTTTTTTTTCTGATGAAAACTCAGTTTAACTAAACACGTTTAGATGTGAATGGGGTAATAGACTTTCCAAAGGAAAAACTGTGTAGCTTCACGTTAAAAAATTAGCCTGGCTTATGTAAAGCCACTCTCTCCCCCTGGGAAACAAGCAGAGAGCTGCTATGAAAATGACAAACTTTGATAATTATGTAAATAACAGTGCTGACTGTTAGTTTTATACCGTAGCCTGTCTCTAGCCGGTTAACGTTACGTTGAAGCAATCCTCCCGTGCGAAAATGCTTTGGATTCAACGAGAGAAGCATCCGTCTTTCAAAGATTCAACAAGAGCTTTAATTAAAGCGTTGTGTTGATGAGAGAACCAGAGGAAGGAAATACCATGATAATATGCAACACGTGCTTCGGTGGACGAATAAACGAGATTACGAGGGCGTCATTAATAGAAACCCATAATCCTGCGCAGTTTGGAGTCAAGGGGCGTGGCGTCGTTTAAAACTCAATTAAGTGGCACGATCAGCTGAATCATATTAATTTGCTTAGAACCAGTGTTAGAGGGACACCGTCCCCCACACTACCTAAGAATACTTAAGAATTTCTCCTTTTTTGATATTAAGCAAGTGCAAATTGTCTACGTTTGAGCAAGAGGGTGGGAATCCAAAATTAAATCACTTGCAATTCCATCTTTAAGGGTAAAGGATCGCCAATGGAAGCCTTGTTCGTAAATATTATATTGATTTAAATATCAAATGTTGCAATAAATGACAAGTTTTGGTTGTTCATGTTCAATCTTTCGCTAATCCTGACAGAATTGTCTGAGCTTGAGTGTTCAAATCATAAAGTTAAGTGGTATTATTTTTAAGGCTGTCAATCACTGTCACAGTCAATTGTCAATAGGCAATGGAACAGTACGCAGGCGACAGTAACCTTCACATACACTATTGTGGACGTAAACGAATTCAACTTGCACAATCATAGAAACTTGGGTAATGTTTTCTAACAGGCTCTGTACATATCGTGCACTCAGTTTACTCTAGGTATATGCGTCTTGAACAACTTGAAGTACTTGCCTCAGATTCAATTCTACCACTACTTCACATCACATGATTATATCTATTTATAATTTACTTCTTTAATAATAATGCCGCATATAAATGAAACCTCCACAAAAATTAAATTTGCAAATCCGAATGATTTGAAATGATTATAAAAAATAATATATGACTGACGAAATGGTACAAAGAAGTCCAAGAATTAAGTTGAATTAACTAGGCATGAGTTTTAAAATAAGTATTTAAGAAAAATCACACATCCCTCTTAGCTAGTTAGTTTTTGCCATCAATTTGATTTTCTCTATTGCTTGCTCGTATTTGGATCAGTCTAACTGGATAACCCAAAGATAAGAATCAAATGTGCCAATTGACGCACATTGAATGAAAATCATCGTCGGCATAGTTCATGCGTGTTGCAAAGAAGACTTTCCTACACAACATTATTGGCATATTTTGATATCATACTATGATGGAAATAGTACCTTATTTCAAGCAGATGCTTTGGCTCAGTTCCTTTGATTAATTTGTGGGTATATTCATTCAGGACATCCGATTACTTGCGCAGGCACATCTTGTGTGTAAGTGCTGGAACTCGTTAAATCTCAAAGGCATTCATGGCCGCGCTTTCTCAAGATGACATCACGTAATAAACATCCGACATGTTGCAGAACTGCATCCTTCCCGGAAGTACTTGATTCATTGTAGTTTACTATGTCAATAATTTGACTGAAACATTCAAGATGCTTCCAACGAGGATGGTGTCCATATGTCATGGTTCCTAAAAATATAAATAGTCTTTACAAGGCTCTGACTTAGCAAAACATTGATGCACACGCATGCGCAAGGATTTAGGATACAGGAAACAGGCTTACCTGATTAAACAGGCTTGACTTCATCATCACAATATGATTAAGAGATTACGATCGAATAATCCCTGCAAAGCTGTCAACCGCGCACTTCGCACTTTGCTGCTCTGATTAGTTGGGCTCCCTATGGTTTAGAGGTCACGTGATCTTTCGTTTGCCATCTTACACAGGCAGCTAGCAGAAAAAGTATATCGGGAGAGAGAGCTTAAAAACGTATGCGCATGCGCCAAATTGTCAAAGATAACAATGGAAACATGGCAGCTGGAATACTTTTCATCTGGCACAAATACTGGTCAAGGTTTTTGAGGGAAAACATTTTAGTACGAACATTAGAAAATTTCTACTTCAAAACTTACCGAGGCATCGGTTAATAGAATATGATACAAATTTTTCTTATTCTTTAAGAAATTATGTGGCTTATCCCAAAATTTTGAGATATTTTGGAAACCATATGTATTCTTATACGAAGTGGGTGCGTCCACAGGTAGCCCAAGCTTGGTTTCTGTGGTGTCATGTCATAAGGAAATGTATGGGGATTCATCAAGCATTTCAATAAAATCATTGGAACGTGAAATAAAGCCTCGCGAAATTTTATTTCATTGAGAAATAGCACTTCTTTCGCTCTGTGTGGTTACTTCTTGAATATCGGAGAATATTAACCGAGACGCCAGTCTTGTGATAGCGTGAGTTTCTCGACCAATCAGCGCGCGAGATTTTCAATAATCACCTGTGTATTTTTACTAAATTCTCATACACAAGAAGAATTATACTAAAAAGTATACCATGAGCTAACGCGCATGCGCATGTTTTGATGACCAAACCTGATGATGCATTTGTAATTTTATTAGCCTTGATTGATTAATTTAGGACCATAATTTATAGGACCATGGTAGCGCAAAGTTTACGGCTGTGCTGGAGATTTCGGCCCCGACACCGCTCTTGGGAGGAATTTCAGACTGATCAGGAAGATCGAGATTAGTCAGCCCCTAGGCCGTAGATGATTACTCCTTGCTATGATTATGTAATTATTGGATAAAAATTCATAAATGGCCGTTTTTTCGAATATGACAAAGGTTTCTTTACGGTTTTTGGCTGGAAAATCCTTTCTAACCTTACGTATTATTAGACTATATGACTAAATTGCGACTAAGTTTCAAATAATTTATGAAGTTTCTTATTTTTTAGATGAAAAAACTACTGACGAGCCACCTTAATAACCAGTTAATAAGACGGAAGTAAAGATAGTCTCATCGCACGCCGTCCAAACGCAAAGGTTTCTCAACGGTTTTTTGCCGGAAAATCCTTTCTAACCTTACGTATTATTAGACTATATGACTAAATTGCGACTAAGTTTCAAATAATTTATGGAGTTTCTTTTTTTAGATGACATTAAAAAACTACTGACGAGCCACCTTAATAACCAGTTAATAAGACGGAAGTTAAGTCTCATCGCACGCCGTCCTGGCTTGGTTCCATAGTAACTATGGCGTCCAGATAAAAGTGTACTTGCTTGAAGGTGAAGGTAAGTAACTTCATTCAGTAATAACACTCAAAAAATACAAATCTTTATTTATTTTCCTGCAATAAGTATTTTTTACAAACTCTTCGCAGTCGTTTATGAACTTCATACTCTGACCTCTGTTGTCAATATAAATAAATACATGGAAAATTTCTTTTGGATTGACTTTTAAAACTGCTTAGTTGCAATGCAGTATAAAGGTAATTTATCGCAGTATTGTTGCTTACTGGAAAACTAGAATTCTTCCTGGACAGGAGAGTTGGTTTCAACATTACCAAGTCTCATGTCAAGTGTTTCTGTCAAGTGTTTCTGAGTAAGATAATGAGGGTATTTTTGCAATGTTCAGTTGGAATTTCCACTAAATTTTTAAATCCATAATCAATAATTTTTCTAGTTATCCATTGCATTTGGTTAACTTTAATTCAATACTATAGTCGTCAAAGTTATTTTTTATATTCATAATTTATCAACTTAAAAATATATAAAAAATCCCATTAAACTCAAGCAAGTTGTGAAAAATACAGTAGGAAAGGAAAGAATGATGTGTATGAATGAATAACCGTAGAAATACTGTAACTACTAAAGATAAAAAAGATAAAGATAGCCTTTAAAGGCTGCTGATAGCATTACAAAGCAGATATGTATCAGTCAAACTGATGGATACCTGGATATTTTAAGAATGTTTATCGAGAAAATTGTTCAAGGTAGGATATTGAATTTTACAAAGATTATTTGTCAGAAAAGGTAGCCATAAGAACAGTAGAAATTCTAAATTTTTAAGCCTTTATTAATTTATTTTTTCACTGATAAATAAATTCCTTGTAATGTACCAGTATCTCAGTTATACCACCATCTTACTTTCTTATACTTAGACAATTTTACTTTATGTTTCATAATTTCCTTCAAAAAAATGACCACAAATGCATCATAATAATTTGCCAATATATTTGACAAATTATGAATGTAATTTCATAAATTATAAAATATGCCTAATGATTCCAAATCCTTGACAGAATAATTGTTATGTAATAAATCTTGATCATCATTTATTTGGAACCATTGTTTTGAGATCATTGAAAAGAATAGACCAATTCCACTGTTTTGTCATTCAGATGACACTACATTTCCTTGAGTATTATTTCTTTTTTACTGGTTAAGTTTGAGTAAATAAATTATTGTTGAAACCCAAACAAAGAATTTAACTCTCAAGGGAATGACATATAAGATGGGAAAACAATAGAGGTATTTCTTACAAGTGTGTTAGAATGACAGTGATGGGATTTTAAAAAGACTCGGGAGGGGGGGGGGGGGGGCACAAAAAATATTCAAGTTGCACAGCACTTTTAAAACAAACACATATTGCAATTATACTATATTTGTAGATGTCCTTGCTGTCCGGACCCTTTCCAGAGGTCTGCCATACACTGCAATCAACACTTCACTACGAATAGTTCTATACAACAGAATTTTTGATAAAGTTGATTTTGTCAGACGAACCTTTTTCTTTGCAGTCTTGTAATTCATCAATCTCATTGATTGTATTGCAGTCTTCATTTGTTGTATCTTCAGGATGATCCTGATAATGTGGTAGCTCTAGGTTGCTCTGTTCTAAATAATCATTTGATTCTATCTGGATCTCTTTCCCAGAATCTACTGGTTCTTCAAGTTCTAAAGAATAGTCAAGTGAACTAATGATATGGTTGTTGTCTTCATCCCTATCATGTGAGGTCTCTCCATTAGAAGGATCTTGAAGGTCAGTCTGATAGTATAAGTCATTTGCATTTTCAGGTGGAATATTGCCTATCTCTTGATAAACCCTTGCATCATCTCTACCATCATAGACATTCCTGTTGACTGTCATTCCCATGACGACACCATTATTTATAGTTCTAGGCATTTCTTCATACATTCCATTAGAATTAGTGTGAGTAGCTGCTCCATTAGTCATGGGAAAAGTCATAGGTTGAGAATTCATTTTGAACTTATCTCGATGCCTTACGGTTTGAATATAACACCAAATGATAGTGACTATCAGGATAACACCGAAGGCAACAGGGACAGCTATCAAAGCAGCTATAGGTATTTGAATTTCACCCATGGTGATTTGTGAGCTAGACGATGAAGTTTTTGGCTTTTCTTCCTTGTTATTGTTTGTCCCTGGATTGAACAAAAATCGTTAAACAAGACAATATTTAAAGTATATCTATATATGACGGTCTAAATTTTCTGTGTACATTAGGTCATATTTGAAGGGAATTTGGTGTGATATATATAATAATTCATTATGTCATTATTATCATTTCTTGATGTTTTGGCTGTGTCCTCAGCCTTTATCAGATGTATGATAATAATAATATCAACTGAAAAAGCGAACAGTGCGCGCATGATTTAAAATTAATGCGCGCTAGTGCCTAGGCTCAGACGTCCAGGAAATCTGAGCCTATCTAATGCCAGGTTTTTGTTGGATTGCAATAAATAGCCTGGTATTGCATAATCAAATAACTGACTACTTGACATTGCATACTTCAGTGATCGTATATAATGGTCTCAGTCAGGTGGACATTGAATAGGAAAGAATAATTAAAGTATAAGTTATGACATTTCGTATGACAGTGAAAAACTAAGATGCTGACGTGCTGTGCCTTTTCATAATGCAAGCAGTATTTGTATGGGTGTGAAAAGCTCGATGCCGTATGCTTGTCTTGCTAAGACCGTGATGTTTTCTAAGATTTTCATTGATTAATTTTTTTCTCGCGCAATGTGAATGGTCTAGCAGCGCCGTGACCTTGGCGTACCGTTTCCGCCGTGTGTTCATACTAGTAAATTCTCGCGCAATATAATAGGCCTAGCTTATACCTTACTGTATGAGGACCGCGTTCGTGGCGCAAGCTTTTCACAGTCATACGAAAACTGCTCTGTTATAACTGGACAAGTACAAACATCGCGAGCTGGGAATGATCCAATGGATGTCAATTACATACTTTGACCCTGCCGTATCTTCACTCTCATACGAAAGTACGCTACCGTGTTTTTATTGACTTACTTTTTGACTTGACTGTTAAATAAACGTCAGAAGATACAAAACCAGCAATAGAACCAACAACACAGGTGTATCTGCCCTGATCACTCTCGGTGACATTCAGGATCTTAAGTTTATGACAATACAAAATCTTGTCGTCAGACCAACGGCTCGACTCGCGGATAAACCTGACGTTTGGGTATGAAGAATTCAACACTGTGATTTTAACCGTTTCATTACTTGTGCTATTTATAGTAGTCCATTTAAGCCACGTAAATCTTGGTACTAAACTACTCAGTGCTCTGCAGGTAAAGGTGACAAGTTCTCCGGCAGTTACTGTGGCGTTGTTTAGCAGGTGCTTCTGGATAACAGGCTTGCGTTGCACCGGAGCAGGCGAGAATGACTTACCATCATCGCGACCTTAAAAGGTAAAGCTTACGTTTAACCACAAAATAGACCTTACTTACGAGGCAGCCATATCAGATTGGCTGGAACGCGATTTATAGATAGATTTATGCGCGCGTAGCCTCGCATTCAAACGCTTTGGGATGAACCAGATTTGCACCGCGAATACTTGTGAAAACATGGATCATTGCGGCGTGATTAATATCTTTACCGCAGGATTGTGCTTTTGGGAATAAAGAAGGTAGAAATAGAACATAAAAACTAAAAACCATAAATGGGAGTGTCCAGAGCAAAAAAATTAATGTGAAGACTTGTTTACTTAGGAAACGGTTGTTCAATATGGCAGCTTATAGTTAGCCTCTGTTTACGCATGGAAAGGAATGCGGACTTACGAAATCACACTTCTTCTCGATGGAATTTGTGGCACTTCTTTTGTATACTTACGTAGTCTCGCATTCAAGACAATTTTAAGAAGGATCCATATGATCTTACCATGAGAATATGAAATAAGAAAAGGAGTCCCCGTGCCCCATCACGAGCACTCTTTGATGCTAATTTTAGAATCTTTGATGGGTTTTTTTTATAAACTTTGATGCTATTTTTAGAATCTTTAATGCTATTTTTAGAATCTTTGATGCTATTTTTAGAATCATTCATTTGATCGTTTGTTTTTCTGTACGTGCGTACTGCGCGCGCCTTCACCTGTTTGCTCGTGTTTTCTTTTCTTTTCCAAAAAAGAAACCCGTTAAAAACAGCGTAGAGCGTAGCGCGCCAGTATGCGCGTGCAGCAAAACAAACGATGGCAAATGTGAATCTAAAAATAGAATCAAAGGTGCTTATGATGGTTACAACTATGAATACCAGAGATTCCTTCTCTTAGCTCATTTTCTCTTGATCTTACCTTTTACTTGTACGATAAAAGTTTTGGTAATATTTCCATATTGATTCCATACCAAGCACTGGTATATCCCACTATCAGAGGGGGTCACCCTGGAGAAACTTAATGTCCATTTAGTAATCCGTCTTCGATATTTTCCAGTAAATCGATCGAGTTTTTTGTTGTTTTTGAGCCATTGAACGTCGGGGGATGGAACACCTCTGGCTTGACATCGAAGTTTGATTTTTTTCCCGGTCGTTATCTTGAAGGCTTTGATCTTCTCGTCGTTTCGAAACGTTGGAGCCCTTCTGACAGCTGTAAAATAATCAGCTATATTAGTATTTTTTTAAATAATTCTAACGCAATGCATCATAGGATATCATGGGTCACAACATAGAGACGATTTAAGAAGGAACTGGAATAATAGCGCGTCAAAACAAGCGTCTAAATCTAAATAAGAAATTTAATTTTGACTTAATTGAAGACTTACCAGTTGTCGGTTTTCTCAAGGTAGTGACATCACTTAGGGTGCTGTTAGTTGCCGGAACGTCTGAAACTAATATTGCAATAAATCAAAGATTTAGTAAGTTTTGAAAAAATAGTTTTGCCATAGTTAGTGTTACTCGAAGCTTCCTCATCACTCACTCACTCACATGGTCACCCGAAGGCGGGCAAGTGAGTGAGTGAGTGATGAGGAAGCTTCGAGTAACACTTACTATGGCAAGTCTTCTTTTTCTGAAAAAGTGTAAAATTGAAATTATGAGAGCTTCTTACTCCATGCGTCCATGCATGCATGCATCCATCCATAGCATTAACTCTTCATCCATCACACTACTCACTCACTCGCTCGTCTCACTCACCTTTAACAGTCAGCTTTATTACAGCTGTAACGGCTCCATGCGGGTTCCTTGCCATACACAGGTATGTCCCACTATCTTTTAACTTAACATTTTTTATTCTAAGGTATCTCCCATTCTTTACTCTGAATCGTCTCCACGCTCTTGACTTTCGAACGACGCCATTTCCTTTCCCTCCGAGTTTTTGCCACGCAGTAAGAGTTCGGTTATGCACCGGATCCTCGGTCCCAGTAACCGAGCATCTCAGTTTGATCGTGTCACCCTGGTAAACAGTATACTCTTTCTTTGGAGTTTTGATAAACTTAGGAGCATCTGAAATAAGAGGTTTTTAAGTTAAGCTACTAGTAGTAGTTGTAGGATTTGTGAGAAATAACGGTAGATTCTAGAGTCAATGAAAGGTAACCGTAGTGTCCATGTGGCGGTTGTTGGATTAGTGGTATATATACAAGTAGGTTACCCTGCGAGCAGAGGTCCTTTTCTACCCCGCTAGGAAGCGAAAAGGCTCTCTGCTCGAGGAATACAACATGGGTACGTTTTCAAATGTTCGAAAAAATCACACAGAGTAAACTTTTGCAACACTTAGTACAGGCGTGATGTAATCCAATGGTCAAGAGGTATGAACCACACGCTGGAGTACGTATCGTAATGTTAAAATAATCACACACAGTAAGCTTTTGATACACTTTGTACAGGCGTGATGCAATTTAATATTTAAGAGTCAATGTCTGTAACGGTCGAGAACCATCGGACAGTTGAGAAAAATCGAAATTGCTCATACTTTGCCTAAATAACCTCCCTGGTAAGACATTTTCAAAAATATAACTTTAAGTGCTGGGCGCCTTTTATTTTTTGAGAAATCGTCAAAAGTTGATTTTTGAGCCGAAACGGGCTTGGACACCCTGTGTCGGATAAGAAAAATCGAAGTTTTCTCGGCGTTCGCACGGCTCCGCGTTTTATTATATCTAGACCATTATTTTTTCGTTGAAAAGGTACGTTCTTCTTCTTGAGTTTCATGCCACAATAGTTTTGCTAGTCCCCATTGTAAATAAATTACAGATTTTTAAAGTGA